GAGTAAAATTTACCTTATGCTAAATAAACCATTGAAGAGATGACAGTAACCAATTCTAATGTCTGGAAGAAAAACTTTCCTAACATATTCATGGGAAGCAAGGGATAGACACCAAGATAAACCAGCAAGAAAGCTTTTACTGTGGTCCAGGTTTACTAGGAATTTGTGGGCGATAAACCTTACACATTTTACTTCAGTGCAACCACTATCATTAGGATCCCAATTAGTATACACAAATGCATTTCCAACACATAAGTATAACAGCATTTCTCTAGAGAACTTTAAGTTACGATCACACTACTGATCTCCCTTTAAAGCATACTGGCTGTATTCACTTTTTTGGGAAAGAAAAAAACAACAGAAAACAGAACAACTTATTTATCCCCTTAGCTAACTTCCTCTTTAATGGTGCAGCTTTCAAATATCTTATGCCATAATGCCCTTTTAAGAACACTTGCCTGCTGTTTTCAGTTTCTGAAATGAAAGAGATTCTTGATCTACCCATCCGTTTCTACGCAAGGCATGATGATGCGGCTCCAAAGCTATACGTTTTCACTCTGAAGTGAGCTTCAGCTCACAAAAACTGGTGCTATAGTCTGTGCTATAGTCTATACACACGCATGTGTATCCAGCCAAGAACCCTTCAAAAAGTCCAGCAAAATCACCTCAAAGAAGACCTTGCAAATCAATATGATTGCTACTGACAATATAAATACATTAATACAGCTATATTACTTGCCTCTAATTGAGTACAAAAGTTTGGGGTAGTTGGTGAAAATAGGAAACCAGGCCTTGCTTCAGGAACCAATCCCCAACTCATAACATTGTTTCCTGCGGGGAAATCGGTTCTGAGTTAACAACATTTCGATTTAAGATGTGGTTTTCAGGAGCCAATTTGTCGCAAGCCAGGGGGCTGCCTGTACACATACACACAGGATATCTAGATACACACAGACAGAGACACCTGTATCCTGTGTAGACGCGTCTGCACACACTTGCCTCTACTTCGGTTAATCCACAGGGCACCAATCTACCCCAAGTTCAAACAGATGCGGCTACCTCCATCTCTTTCCACTCGCCCATCACCACTCCTGTCCCCTGGTGCTTGGCACCTGTACTGGTGTCTCCTCATCACTTCTCAGCGTCGGGACCAAACCTGGCTCTCTTAAGAGCATCTGCTGCAAGCGAGAAGGGGAGCCGGTCCCTCCCTTCCCTTCCCTTCCCGCCCGGCAGCCCCCTCACACCCAACGAGAAGTTGCAGCCGGGCGCTCCGAGGCAGCTTAGCAGGGTGGGGAGAGCTGGGCGGCCGCCGCCCGGCCCGGCCCGGCCCGGCACCTACCTGCGGGGCTCGTCATGCTCCCGGCTCTGTGGCCGCGGGAGGGCGCGCAGCTGTCCGCCAGCCCAGCGGCTTCTCAGGCGGCGGCTCGTACGGAAGCGCGGAGCCCGCCTGGCCCCACGCACCCCGGGGGGAACCTCGCCTCCTGCTCGCGCTTCAGAAGTGAAACTGCCCGCGCAGCCGTAGGGGGAGGGATGGCCGCGCCTCTGAGCGCCAGCAGGCCCCGGGGAGCCCCCACCTCGCCGGGGGGGTGAGGGGAAGGCATTGCCAAGGGGAGCAGGGCGACAGCACCCCGCCGTCCCCACCTGGGAACAAGAGACAGGCCTCTTGCCGCTGCGTAAGTTAACCAGGCAGCCTCGACGTGCAGAAAGCAATGCGCCCCTCAAACGCTTGGCACCTTTTACGAGACCAAACTGAGACGTGGCAAACAAACGAGCTTTCTTCGCGAGCTGCCGGGCACGTGCTCTTCAGGCTGAGGGAAAAGTTAAAGTTGGTAAAAGCCGAGTCCTAGCCGATCTGGGGTTTTACACTTCACCGCAGAACAGCAAGGAAGATTTTTTACCTCCCTGTCTGCCATCTGACACCTCCAGGGAAGGAGTCCTACCTGATCTATGCATGGAGAGCTTACTCCACACAGCTTGCAAAGACACTCTTATGGCCCCAGAGGGACAGCCTTCCATCTTCAGCTCCCTCTGTGCAAAAATGAAGTTTATTTCCTACCTCTGTCCTACCTTTGGACAGATATTTGGCTGGGGTGATATGACCCTGACACCCGTTCGTGCCCAGGGCAGGGGTTGAACCTAATGATCTGTTGAGGTCCCTTCTGACCCCAAGTACCTTGATACTATAGGGACTTTTTACCATCTGGTACCATCTATGCTTTTCTCAGGCTTTGAATCCTGAAAGTTTGCAGAAAAAGACAGTTTTCTTGCCATTTCCTAGTTGGTCTAGTAAAAGGTATCATTCTGGAATCAAGAGTTCTAGTTTTTTGTATGTCCATAGGTAGAAAATAAACTTTGTTTTGCACAAATGAAGCTGAAGGTGGATGTCTGTTCCTTTGGGTCTGGATGCGCGGACACTTGGGCATTGCAGCACTCCTTCATCCTGTTCTGTTATTGGCAGCATTCAAAGAATGCAAAGAATGACTGGGCCGTCGGAAATGTTTCCCTTCAGACCAAGATCTTTATTATTGCAGTACAATCAGGATGCCCTGCCAGGAAGGGGTTCACAGTCATAATAGCCCCCACGCTATTGCACCTCATATTGATTGTTGACATCGCACAGAGGAGAGCTTGAAAAATGTGAGAGGGATCAGCCCATAAGAAAAAACTGCAAAAATGACTTCTCAGAGCTGGGCTGTCCTTTCAGTTTATGCAGCCCCTCAGTCCAGCTTCCTGTTCCCTTTAATTTTCCATCAGTTTCAATGGGAGATGGACCAGACCTTAAGAGTTCATCAAAATAAGAGCCTGTGGGTTCAGGACTGGAAAATTAAAGATAGCCATTGGAGGAAAATGTGGGTAAGAAACATTTTTGACTGCTCTTTGCATATTATAAGGAGTACATCCAGCTCTAGGATCACATCCAAGGAAGGTTTAAATTGGATATTAGGGAAAACTCTTTCACTAGGAGGGTGGAGGCTGGGTGAGGTCCTGGATGACTGGAAAAGGGCAGATACAGTGCTGACCTTTAAGAGAAGTAGAACCCAGGAACCTGCAGACCAGTATGTCTGACCTCTATACCTGGAAAGATCATGGGCTAAGTCCTGAAGAAATCCACTGTGAAACACCTAGAGGGAAACAAGGTGATCAGGTACAACCAGTATGGATTTAACAAGAGCAAGCCAAGCTAGCACAACCTGATTTCCTTCTGTGACACACTGGCTGGCTCTGTGACTGGGGGAGAGCAGTGGATATGATATACCTTGATTTTAGCAAGGCTTTTGACACTGTCTCTCATGGCATTCTCATTAACAGGCTTAGGAAATACACAGCAGATGAAAGTACTGTAAGGTGGATATATAACTGGTTGGGTCATTGTACAGTACTCAATGAATGGTCATCAATAGCTTAATGTCTAGTTGGGAGGAGGTATCCAGTGGGATTACCCAGGGCTTTGTCCTGGGTCCAGTGTTGTTTAATATTTTCTTTAATAATTTAGATGATGATTGGGTTTAGCAAATTTATGAAGGACACCAAGTTGGATGGAGTTGCAGATATTCCGGAGAGAAGGGCTAGGATCCAGAATGACTTGGATAGACTCAAGGAACAGCCCTCAATCAGCCAGATGTGATTCAACAAGGACGTGTGAAGTCCTACACTTGTGATAGAATAATTGCATACATAAATACAGAGTAGAGAATGAGTAGCTAGGCTGCAGTACTGTAGAGAAAGACCTGGGGCTTACAGTGTCCTGAAAACTGACCCAACAGTGTGCTCTTGTTGCAAAAAAAATGCCAACAGCATACTGAGTTATATCAACAAGACCGTCACTTGCAAATTAAGGAAAATGATTTTTCCACTCTATTCAGCACTGGTGAGGCCTAACCTGGAGTATTATATTCAGTTTTGAGCCCCACACTTCAAGAAGGATGTAGACAATTTGGAAAGAGGCCAGAGCAAAGCAAAAACAAAATGATTAGAGGCCTGGGAAACAGAATTTATGAGAAATGACTGAAAGAACTAGGGTTACATAGTATGAAAAAGAGAAGACTGGGGGATTTAATAACAGCTTTTAAATACCTGAAGGGCAATCACAGAGAGGATGGACATGAGCTGTTCTCTCTGGTTGTAGGGGATAGGATTAGGAGCAATGGCCTGAAGCTTCAGCAGGGGAAATTTAGATTGGAGGTTAGGAGGAACTTTCTGAAAGTCATGGGCAACTGGTGCTTCCCAAGTCTGGGGGCACACCAGATTGCCAAGGGGAAGGGAGGGGGGATCCCCAGCAGCTGATCACCAATGGGGGGGGGTGGCAAAACCAGAAGTGCAATTCTGCTGGCACTTTTGGTTTTGCAGCTGGTGCTTCCAGGGGGTGCACCCTCTATGTGTCGCCAATAATAAAAGTGGTCCAGCATTGGACTATCTAGAGGAACTGTAGCATCTCCATCCTTGGATGTTTTAAAGAGTAGGTCAGACAGATGCTTGGCTGAGATGATTTGGTCAGGGATGCTCCTGCCTTGACCAGGGAACTGGACTAGATGATTGTGTGAGGTCCCTTCTAGCCCTACTTTCCTATGATCCTAACTCTTGAATGACCATTTTATACCATCTTACAGGTATTATATTGTAATATCCAGGATAACAATAGCACAATTAAATGTAATCAAGTAAGTTATCTAGAGTGACTAGAGTCATTATCAGGAAAGATGAAGTGACATTACCTTCCCCTTAAGGAGGGGGAAGAACAAGCTAGTGATAAGAGAAGTGCAAGTTCTTCAGTCAGAAACCAGGGATAGTGCTTCCTTTAGCTTGTATACCCATGAATAAAAAAGTTGAATTTTCTAGTTACTGCTTCCTTTTCAGCAGTTCATATCATTCATTTCACAAGTTCAGCCCCCACACATGAAAACTCTCTCAGGAAGTAGGTTGGCTAGTTATTAGTACAGGCAGTTCTCAGACTTATGGAACAATTGGTTCCTGAAAAACACATCTTAAGTAGAAACATTGTAACTCGGAACCAATTTTCTCATAAGAAACAAACAATGTTATGAATGGGGGATTGGTTCCTGAACCAAGGCCTAATACCCTATTTTCACCTGAAATACCACAGAATTTTATACTTGATCAATTATAGATAAGTAATATAGCTACATTAATGTATTTATATTGTAAATAGCAATCAGATTGATTTAGAAGGACTTATTTGAGTATTGTGACTTGCTTTATGTACTAAGAATTTTAGAGTTAAGTTTATACTGAAGTGATGTAAGAATACTTCAGAGTAATTTACAGTTACATTTACAGGTATATCAAACAATCTTAACTCTAGTGATGCCATAAAGAGAGAATATGAATGAAAAGAGAGAGAATATGAATGGAACCTAATATATCAGTTTAATGTGTGGAAGTATTGTACTTTGATTTACAAATGTTTCTATATACTCTGTTTCATTTTGTCACATATATTTCATACATTTTATATCTTTCTACTACATCTTGATACAGAGATTTTTGAGTGTCAATATTGTGCTTGACATTACAAACCTAGAACAAGACACAGTACTTGTCTCAAAGAACTTTCATTGTAAGTATGCAGACAGTACAATTCAAATTACTAATGCTTAGTTGGAAGGAGTAAATTTTAAATTGTGCAGTTTTGATTTAGTTTTTAGATGCATACAGCAGTCACAATTAACATTACATTTACCCATTGTTACTTCATAATGATACTAGATACCACAGTATTTTATGTGCCAAAATAGAAATCAAATGCAATATTCCATGTGTTCATTCTTTTTGTGTTTAGTGGAAAGGAGAGGAAAATTTATATATAGGTGATTAATTTCTAGATTTTGTTCTTGTTTAATGTAAAGATAAAAGAACAGAAGAAATACTAAAGGAATATAGAAGCACTGATGAATTAATATAACAGCTTTTAGAAAGAAGAAAATTAATGCTTGTAAAATTATCCTGTTAATTTGATGTCTTGCCTGCTAAAATAATGAAACAAATATTTAAGTAAAGCAATCTGCAAGCACAAAGGGACAATAACACCACAATCAATAAGCAACTAAGTTTATGAAAAATAAATCATACATTCAAGCCTAATTTCTTCAGTGCAGTTACAATAAAATTAGTTGATAGAATCCAATATAGAATAGCTGGACTGTAACATAAGGAACTTTGCCAGCGTGGCACAAAAAGTGGTTGTGTCGGGCTTCATTTTCATTTTTCCAAAAAAGAACTATCCAGTTCTTTATGTTACAACCTGCAGAACCTTAATCACAACCAAAATGAGTCAGTTGTTTTCAGTCCCTTAACAGAGATGATGGAAAGCCCCTTCCTT